ATTCTCTGTATGCGCTTGGCAAATTTAACATGGTTTTATCTGGACTTTGCTCACGTTTAGTAGTAGATACCGGTACTTTAGCAGTGATAGAAGTGCATAATGTCTGTGTAGCTGTAGCTCAGGTTGGACTTCTCCATTGTTTGCATGCGACGGAGTCCAGGGTATGAACTTCTGCTGCCGTAGCGAAAAAAAAAAATTACAACACATTTTATTCATATGTTTACCTGATGGAGGAAGCTGAAATTTCGTTTACACTTTTTTGTGTCCAGAAATACAAAAATGCTTGTAAATATGTCCGTGGGGGATGTGAATACCGAAAACAAATCGCAGATCCACACTTATTTTTGTAAACGTTTTCAGTACAAACTTCCCATGTGAAGACTTACACGTACGCGCCTGTATGCAACACAGTTGCAATGCGGGGCGAGCATGTACGCGCCTAAGGCTTCACACTAGGCTTGGACGGTATTTCGGTATTACCGGATAGTCAAGGTTTTTTTTAATAACCGACTAACACCGACTAATGATTCATGAATACCGAAACACCGGTGAAGTCGGTATGGAATTTCAATACCGCGGTATTCTTCCTTTGTGTTCAGAATCTTCGCAAAAGCCTTTCAAACAGAAAGACAAGCAACCTCTTTGACATGTTTGATTCCATTCTTTGTGGTTTCAGGCATCCAGTTTCATGTCTGCATTGTCAACTACCGTTGACAGATTGAACACAATTGTCAAGCTCGACAAGAAAACCTGATACTTCGGCAGCTGCAATACCACAAAGGCCTTTGAAGTTCTGCTAACGCCGCCGTGTTTGCGGTTTTCTTTGTGTGTAAAGTGTCTCCGCTGAAAGTTCAAACAATGTTTTACACATGGAGTTTTTGACGGTCGTGACAAAAACTGGTCGTCTTAATTGTTTCTCCGTGGTTGTTCCAGAGAAATCTTACATCATCATGCGTAATTTTTGCCACAACATAGTTCCCAAGAATATCAGCAACAAGAACAAAAAACCTTGTCAATCTTGGTTATATGACCGCCGAAACTTGCAGGCTTCAGTCTAGTGCTATATGCGTGCGAGATGCACGTGCAAAGGGAAGGGACGCCTGGATTTACATGCGATGCTGAGCCGTCCGATCCGGGGAAAATGAGAAACAAATATTTCAAGGAAAGCGCAATATCAAAGCCATCATGATGTCTCATCATGGGCCTTGGGAATAAATGTACAATCAAGCAGTGTCGGCACCGACGCGCAAAAGGAAAACAAATCTGGACTCGCCTGAATATACGAGGCAGCGAGTGTGAACCATCCGAGAAAATTAAGAAAAAAAATACTTCAACGAATGATTTCTCAACGTGGGTAAAAACTCTTGAACGATCTGGAAGCGTACACTTTAGTGTTTATGTGCGTCATGTGCGTGGTGCGTGGCCGTACATGCCAGTGCATGATACGCATACACGTGGTCCCACACTGGTTCCGCACAGAGAGAGTCGGAACACGTGCTTTTCCCCACCCTCTGCATTTATCGATCTAAAGCTGTGTCCGCACTCGCCTTTTTTTGGAAGGTTTTACCGAGACGATGGTGAGATGAAAAATGGTCAAACACCCTTTTAAAAGAATCTGATTGACCACCTAAATCGACGCTCGGAACATTTTTTTTTCATTCATGTTTCGGTTCGATTGGTCCGTTAGTTATTCATCGGTACCAACGTTCAAAGGGAAGGGACTCGCCTGAGTATGCCGAGTCGTCTAGATAAAAATCCAGAAAAGAAAATACTCCAAAGGAAAGCGTAATACAAGAACCATGATTTCTCACCGTGGGAAAACCCCCCGTAATGCCCGCACGATCACACTTAAAGCTACGCCCGTCCTGCTGGGCCCACAAGCACAATTGCATGTGCTTTTTCCCACGCACTGTGTAGATCAAGCTGATTGGCCATCTAAAACGGCGCTCGAAACATTTTCCATTCATGTTTTGGAATGATTGGTCCGTTAGTTATGAAGGTCACGGCACCGACAACTTCATATTACAGCGTCCACAATTGCGCATGCGTAATATTGTGATGTTTACTATTATCAATCACGGACCGATCACGTGAGAAGGAGTACGATATTTTTTGTAGGAGTCCGATTTTCACATGACACCGGCGAAGCACGTAAGGAGTCGCTGGTGGCCGGCATTAATTGCGTGAGCCTTTTAAGTCACTCACAATGGATACCAACTGAAAAGCATACGTTCGCTAGGATCTGGGGATCGTCGCGTGGTCGGCCTCTGGCGCTGGCATCGGTCGACGATCTGCATTATTTTTTAGTGGATTTTGTCAAGTCAATGACTTACAAATTCGAAAAATGCAAAACCACAAAAAGTAAGCTTCCCCTGTTTAATAATCTGTTACAATGATATGTTGTTTTTACAAAGAAATGGACTGATAATGAAAGTTTGAAACCAAGACACTTTTAGTGTAGGACTAGGAGATTTGCGGCGTGAAGCATTTGCGTGATTTATGCTGCGCCGGCGGCTTATCAACTCGGCACGTGGTGTGGTGGTTAGTTATTTTTTCTTCTGATAATGACGTAACTAATACCCCACTTAACATAATACCGCGGTTTTAGTGAATACCGCGGTTTTTTTGTCACTCTATACCGCGGTATAGTAAATGCAATACCGTCCTTACTTCACACGGGCAGTTCATCCTGAAAATGTTTACGACGGAAGCGTGAATCTGCAATTTATTTTCAGTACAAATAATTAATGATGTTTTCAAACCTATTTTAATGATGTTTTCAAGCCTAAATAATTCGCAAAACCTTTGAAACACTTCAGTACTTGTTACATTCGGGGCACACTTAATAAAGTTTTTATGTTTTCAGTGACTGACTGCAATTGTTGATTTATCATGTCAATCACACCGGTCCGCAGACATAGTGAGCATGCGTCAGCCTTTGTGAATGGTTAGACGTTTAAACATTTAAACGGAACCATTATTTTTATTCAAATATTTGCTGAACGTTTACAAAACGGACCGCAAATTCAACAATGTCAGTCTGACTGAATTTAAGGGGAAAAAAGTCCAAGGTTTACTTTTATCAGAAATAAAACAATGTACAAACAAGCACTGATTTTACCTAATGCTTGGATTATCGGGTCTGAATTTTATCATCTAAATCACATGTTAAGTCCTTCAGCTCATTAAATGTGTGCAGGCAGCAAAGGGTTAATAATAAATCTCTAATAATAAATTTAAATCCATTAATAATGAAGGCCTGAGCGCTTGGTCATTAAAAAAAAACTTACAGTACAGACAGACTGAGTATTACGTAACAGTTTCTTGCCTTTGTTACTGGTATAAAGGGTATTGGTCAATAGTGTTTGCATGCCATATGTATACTCACTGTGGTCTGTCATTGTAGTATTCTTTTGTAGTAAAGCAGACGCATGAATTTGATTGAATTGGTAGTTCCGTGTACATTCATGCATTGAATGGCATACAAATGTAAAGAAGGAATGCTTTGCCTTGTGTTGCTCTGAGTCTGAGTAGCAAATGAAATGGATTAAATTTATGATTGTTCTTTTATGGATCGTGTTAGAGAGATCTGGGCCCTGCTTACCATTAGCGAAAATCCCTGCATAATGTAGCTTTTGGGTTAGCGAGGAGTTTTGACTTCTGCGCATGCGTACACACCTTAACTAAGGATGTTGTGCTTACAGGGTTAGCACGAAATTGTTCTGCTAGCGCGGTTAGCGGTGATCATGTAAGCACAAAATTCCGTGGTTAGCGGAGCCTTGAACTTGGGCCCCTCCTTACATGACACTTAAAATTTTAAGTTTGTCTGGAAATGAAAATTAAAGCAAATATTTACAAGTGTCACCAAAAATAATGTTTTATAATTTTTTTTCAAATTAAAGTAGTAAGCAATTGACCTGTTGCGGTAGAATCGCGTCAATGGAGCTGTGAAATATTTTCCAATTACACGATAATATACCAATGGATGCGGAACGCACAAAATCTTAGACAAACAAAAGTTAGTGTACAAAAAACTAGGGTTGTCTAAGGGGCGTGGCTAACTCGCAAACGACGATAGGTTAATTATTTTCAATCTAATACAGTCTACATGCGATTGCAAAGAGTAAATTGTTCTTGCTCTTCTTAAATTTATTTTAGGACATCTCCTAAAAAATTTCCTTATCAATTAACTGCTATCCTCAGTGTGATAACTTGGTGAGTGTGGGTATAAATAAGGTGTGCCAACAAATGTGAACAAATGTATGGTTAGTCTGTGGCTTATGTACACAGGAACATAAAAGCTTTAGAACGGAATGAATAGCAAATACAACAGGCACCTATCATTTAAACCAAGCATGGGCCCACCATGAAAGGATTTGAGTACTGTTTGCATTGCTATTGTGTGCTCTCAAAATGGTTGCGTCCCATATGAGTGCAACAGTGCATTGAAATTCCCATAGACACTAGTGCTAAATGCCCATACTTCAGAATTCTTTTAAAAATACTCAGAACTCTCACAGGTATTTTAACTGCACAGTAAAATGATGATCAACACGTCATCTTTCATTTTTTTCCATTTTTTGGTGGGTTGACCATTGACTTTTCGAGGAATTCTCACTCAAAGAAGTTTAGAAGATGACCCCTATTTTTCCCAAAGCGGAAAAGTAGCCATCTTGAAAAACGATCCCTCCACAACATGCCAAAATAGTGCCACTTTCGAGCCCAATTGCATCCAAAATGCTCAGAATTGGAGCCCCAAGTCCGGGCCAGAGGTTCATTGCCATATCTCTTCAATTCCCCAATGTTACAGCTCTCACAACTCTCTAATATAGAATACTTTGAGGGGTATAACTTTTATTCATGAGCTCGCCGGATGGGTTTAGGCTTATTTACAGGTATGCACCCATATGAATGGCCAGACATATAAAACAAGTTTTTTTTATGGAAATTTGTTCCGAATTTGCATACTAAATGTTCTCGTTCCACTGTGTCTTTGACAGTAGTCACGGCAGCCTAGCAGTGTAGGTAATATTTCTCCACGCGCGCCATGGCGGACACGTTAGCCAACAATGTGGACGAGAGGGAAAAGCTGATCCCGGACTTGGACGACCCCGAGTTCCAGAAGGAGTTGCAGCGGCCGGCCCACATCAAGGCCGACATGAGGGACATGGAGAGGCAGCGAAGGGTCTCCCTGATCCTGAACAGCCAGGCCTTCCGGGAGGAACTGGAGAGCATCATTGAGTCACAGTTGAAGGTAAGAAGACTCAGAGAGAGAGAAACAAGGAACGACAACAACAACTAGGGTCTCCTGACAATGACTAGAGCAGGCTAATCGAAACGTTGAGACCAAAGACAAGTTCGTTTAGAACTTACAGCAGGACTGTTCTTAACAGAACCAAAAACTACTTAGCAAAGTTGATAATAAGCAGGACAAGTTCTTCTCAGAACTAATATCTTCTAAGCAGTAGTTATTACCACATGGTGTTACCGCAAACCGAAACGATAACAACAACTACCTGTCACTAACAGGCTTTAGCCCTTTTCACACTAGAGCCTCTCAACCCGGGTTGAACTCAACCCTGGGCGAAGCCAGTGCCGCCCCGGGTTGAGTTTCTGATTTTTCAACCCCGCGTTCAACTCCGCATTGTTTCACACTTGTTTCATGCAAATCAAGCTTATCATGCTCAGTTACTACTGTTTTGAACCCTGGCAAGAATTTCAACCCGGGTTGAAAATCTCAACCCTGGTCTGGAGCAGGGTTGAGTTCAACCCGGGGCGAAATCAGTCTCGGCGTTGACGCAGGGTTGAAATTCTTCAAGTGTGAAACGATGCATGTTTTTCAACCATGCGTCAACCCTGTGTCAATCCCGAGATTTGTCTAGTGTGAAAAGGGCTATATGGGGCTTTAGTCACTTGTACTTAAGTCACTTCAGTCACTTGCATCGGTTGCCCTTACATTCATTAGGTTTTGGTGGATCCAGCACTTTTGGAATCGATTCCGATTCTGTCTAGGAATCGGAATCGATTCCAAATTTTTTGATTCCAATTCTGTCTAGGAATCGGAATCGATTCCAAATTTGTGATTCCAATTCTGTCTAGGAATCGAAATCGATTCCAAATTTAGCTGGAAATTATTTATATTTTTAAACCACTAAGATGAGGTCATCATGAGGTGTAATCGTTCTCTTACAAATGATAATTTTTCACCAAATAACATAAAAGTCACAATTGGGGCAGGACACGCAACAAAATATAATGTTTGACTAATTATTTTAGATTTTTTGGGGAAATACACAAGATCAAAACCGGACCTCCCCTTTGCGCATTTATGGACAGATTACAGTTGATAAATAGTCAGGAAATTACTCTGCAAAACTACGGTAGCATTGCCCATCAAAACTGGTGTTTCAGAGAAGCGATTCTTCAAAAAAGTGGAATTGCAAATTTCTGATTTCGAATTTGGAATCGATTCTGGCATGGAATGGCCCAAGCCTCTCACTCATGATGGAGTTCCAAGCCAAAGGCTGTATGTTTACAGGTAGTTTTGTTTACAAGTAGTTGGTGTCCAGACTTGTTCATGTACACCCGCCTAATGAGCAAACGGTAGAAGAGGATGGCTTGGTTCAAAATCTGCAGGCCAAGACAGGAGGTACACACTGTGTGTGGAATTGAAGATTTTTTTCAGATATGGAGTAAATATAAATTGAAATTACACAATTATATATGAGACATAGCCTGAATTCACATCAGGCTATGTCAGTTTTGTGCAATGAAACCGATATCATTGAATTGGGTACCCAATGACCATAGGTTTACGTATCCATTTCCAGTGAACATCCATTTAACCAGTTTTGGCTAGACTACTTTGGGTGACCATGACTGAATGCATGCTGAAATGGTGCACTTTTTCCCTGGAAGCACTTTTTCCCCCCTGGAAGCACTTTGACAAGAGAAATTCTTTAGTGTATTTTTATAAAATGCTTGCAGTTGCTTGAGTTCCACCCCAGATGTAGCCTCAAGATCAAACATTAAGTATTGGAATAAGTCTGTAGAGTAGCTGACATGTTTTACCCAAAGATTTGGAATGCCCCCCCCCCCTTTCTCCTACATGTAGGTAAACAGTGCATAAAATCAATATTGTGAAATTGACAGGAAACAACCTGTGTATTCTCAGCTGTCTAGAAATTGAAACACAGCCTAATTTCGAGGAGGAACTTAGCCTTGAACTATAACACCTTAGTATTTTCAAAAGTTCTCTCCAAGCGCACTCTGCGGTGACATCAAGGATTTTTTTAGTCTTTGTGAAAAAAATACTCCAAGGGCTTAGGCTTCCATTTCAAGTGTACCAAGGATGCCCAATGATAATAGAACACCATTGGAGCCTTTGTGCGGCCATTGTGCAAGTACACGCACAAGTAGACCTTGCAACGTCAGATTTTGTATTCATTTCCAAGTTCCATTTTCCCACATGAAAACAGTGGGTACACCTGCAACCCTCCTGTGTATGTCACACACACACACCCACACTGTCTGACCCAATCAAGGCCAGCCAGCCTGCCTTTGGAATTCCAGGGCCGTTTGTGGGACCCAGACTCTTTTTTTTTCTTCTCCTTCCCTGCTAATCCTCTTCCCCAGTTTCTGAGCCACCCCCAGGCAAGGTCAGGGCTAGCTACCTGTGGCCCCGTTTGCTATGTATCAGTGTCCTTGCGTTCAAGTCCGGCATTCAAGCCTGGCATTCAAGTCCTTGTATTCAAGTCCGGCTTCGTAGCTCAGTTTAAAAGCATCTTACAGAGTGGAAAGAATGGGTTAAAAGAATTCTGGTGAATAGTATTTCCGGACCAATAAGCTGATCTGGAATTTTTTCAGTCGTTGGAGTAAATGTACAATTCATATTCACAACAGTGAACTTGATTTTATATTCTTTAAAGGGGGACCTTATAAATTAACAACAATGTAGATAAGACTACAATTTTTCTGTGGCTTGCTCTGAACTATTTTGAAGGAGTTTTCTTCAACTAAAATGGTTTACATGGGATTGTAACAATGTGTACCCATAATTGTTATACATTGTTGTACAACCATTGTTAGGCTATAGTTTGTGTAATAAATGTTTTAACGAGTGAATGATTTTTGTTTAATGATTAAAATAAAGCTTCTTTTTATACGTACTGTGTAGACTGAATGTAGTTTTCAGGGAATGTCAATTCTTAAAAATTTAAGACCATAAAAGTTAAAGGCACGGGCAAATAATCCTAAAATAGTTGTCAGATACTGTACAGTATAATTATATCAGTGCTTGATTTCTTATAAGGGAAGTCCCTATTTCAGGATGCCATTTTGTAATGTTAAAGATATACCCTAGCCGCTGATTGCATTTTATGTACATGTCTTCTAACGTATACCCCTTCGAGGTGCCTCACCATCCCCTCGGATGCCTCAATTGTTTCAAGCAGAGCATAGTCTCTGACCTTTTTCACACACTACAGGATTAATTAGGGCCCCATACTGTCTGTTGGATTGAGCCAGGGTGGGAAGTGAGGCTCACAGCGGCTACGTGGATGTTGGGCAGTCGGCCTACTGTGAGGAGAAAGAGATATCTTCTACATAAGCCTTGGGAGAATTTAATTTGCATAAATTAATTTGCTTTTATTTATGCAATACATCTACCTCATGTAATTGTAAATTCTGTAAATAGAAAAAAATTCCCAGTCAATAGCAAGTTTATAGCCTGTTGAGGGTTAGTCATTGGTCGCTATAAAAGAAATATCTGTTGCTGTAATACTCAGATGTTATGTACTTGGTTGATTTTCATGAGAGATTCTCAGCAGCTACTGCTAGTTTAATATAAATAATAATTTTCTAGATATGGCATTGAATTTGGGCTATTACAGCGCTGAGAAGCCTAGTGTCTCGCTTTATCACTAATGCCAGTTTTTCATAATGGGCTTCGGCACAAATGGAACAAAGAACCCCCCCTCCCCCAACAAAAGAAATTAAGGCTGGGAAAAAGATAAGTATGACCTTATGCCTTGACTGCTGTATTCATTATTTATAAAAATGCATGTCATGGATGAGAGATTGCGCTTTGAAGGCAGAGCATCTTTAGATGGGAGGCATTGATGAGGGAGATAAGACCTTGAGATAAGACCTTGAGATAATGTGACCTCCCTGGGTAAGGCCTTGCTTGTGCTCGCTGGTCACCTGTCAATGGCAAGGCCCGCATGCAGTGTGCCTCCTATAGAGTAATGACACGGCAGCGGCCAACGGTTGCCAAACTCTTCATCCCAATATCAAAAAAATAAAAACCTTTGACCTTGCCCTTACGGTGGACAATCCATCTCTGAGTCTTCTCCAGCTTCGGAAATTACGGATGACTCACATTGTCGTCTTTGTGGGAAATTTTAAAATTACAATGGAAATGTGTTCTTGATGGTGTTTCTTTTTCTTCTTCTGAGCCTTCTATCCCATTTGTTCTCTATGAGAACAAAAATCCATGGTAAAATTTCAGGACAACCCTAGATGCATTTATAAGTAATTATGTCAGTTGTAAAAATTGAGTGGCAAAATGTATATGCAGGGTAAGAGTATAATTGGGAAGTTTATGGGAGCTCCCAAGTCCCAACACTCAAATAAATTGCCCAATCTTATTGACCAGTATTTAAAAAAACAACTCAAAGAAATATTGCTGTATGCCCATTATCTATGCATTTGATGTAAATGTATAGGCCTACCCTTTTTTATAAATAAACCTCATGATTTTAAATAATAGTTCAAAATACCTCATTAGCAAAGATGGTCTTTTTCATTCTTTACACGTACATGTATTTCCACCAGGGATTGAATATTATGTATGTACTGGATAATCATTAACAAAATTTAATTAATCAAGGTTTTTTTTTGGGGGGGGGGGGGTTAAAGCAACAAGCTTTTCACACTTTTTTTCACAACAGATTAAAATTTCCGTGCGGTGGATTTATTGAGTTTGATCCCTAAGTCGCCTGTAGCCGTGTGTAATAAGGTCATAGGCATAGTTGGGATGTCATGATAAATAAACACCAGCATCAGACCATTGGGGAGAATGGTTCAGGCATACGTTGATTTATGAGCCTATCCTAAATTTCAGTATTTCTGAATACTGAATCTGCACCAGGCATGTAGCCAGGTCCTGGATGGCCTTGAGAGTGCCAGACACAGTCATTATTGTATGGTACTGGTACAGCAGTCCTTATTTTACCGCCGCTAATGGATTTATGC